GTCAGGGTCAAAACATTTTATAGGATTTAAAATTTAGGCTTTAAAACTCCATAATTAGTGGCATTTTTGCAAGTAGACAATCTATTGTGACATTTTTGAAAAGTGGCACACCAAAAGTCGCATTTTTTCAATTTTCTAATTACTAATTTCTTTTCTTTCAAAAGTACCATTAAAAGTTTGTTTTCAAGGTTAGTTTGAATTTTTATTAAATAAATTAAAATATTCTTCTGATAAAAAAAATAAATTTTAATGATAATTGAGAAATTTTAAAAACGATATTTTTCAAGTGCTATTTTTCAAAAATATTATTTTTTTAAAATTTTTGCAAAAATACCACTTAAAAAAAAAGTTTATTATATCATTTATGTTTGGGTTAACTATGTTGTATTAGAGTTTAGTTTTGAGGGTTTAAGGGGTTTTATGGGTCAAAAAAAATTTTTAGGGTTTATAATTTTAAGATTTAGGTTTTAAAAAATCTATAATTAGTGATATTTTTGCAAATGAATTTCTCTAAATGGTATTCTCACAAATATACATATCAAAAATAGTATTTTTGTAATTGCCCCTAATTAATTCAATAAATCTGTAAGTATTCCAATTTCATCGAAAGCTGTGTATAGTTTCAGTTGACCATATTTCTCTGACAAGATTTAGCAAATTAATGGCTGATGCGTCAAATTTCAATTTTTTGCACGTCTAATAGTCAAAATTGTTATCGAAGTACATTTTTCCAATAAATTGTCAAACAATTGTTTTCCATCGATTTTTAATGAGATAGTTCATATAGAGAAAGCAATATAACAATTTATTATACATTTTGACTTAAACACATTTACATATATAAAATAATTAAATGGTAAAATTAAATTTCTGAAATTCATATTATTAATAAAAATGATATTATTAACAAAAAAAATTAACAACAAAAGAATCAACATCAATGTCTATAATAAAAATCAAACAACTACATATTTCACATTTTTAAAAACTAAAATTAAAAAAAAAACTATATAAATAATTTATGCTTATATACGCGGGAGAATCACCTAGTTTCTTTTATAAGATTTAGCAAATTAATGGCTGATGTGTCAAATTTCAATTTTTTTGCACTTCTAATAGTCAAAATTGTTATCGAAGTACATTTTTCCAATAAATTGTCAAACAATTGTTTTCCATCGATTTTTAATGAGATGGTTCATATAGAGAAAGCAATGAAACAAAAATTGACTAAAACATATCATCATTAATATTAGATACTATTATTTTTGAAAAATATAATAGACATTAGTTACACGATTCGCAGCATGGTCTTTACCACGCGAAAGGGAAGTTAAAATAGTAACATAGACTAATGTCTTTTTTTTGTTAAAGATGACAAACGAAATATGTAACAATAGCAAGTAAATGTGACTGTATACAATTTCCCTTATTTACATTAAACAAACGTACGGATCCAATAGTTGTGAGACTTGTGGAAGCAAAAGTGGTAGCTTCATGACCAATGACGTGGAATAGCAAAGTAGAACTTGATCAAAGCTTATCGTTTAGTTTGTTGGATTAATATAGTTCATAACTACTAGGATTACAAGAACAATTAGCTACCTTTTTTTGTACGGGCGGCTAAAAAAGCTTTGCGTTAAAGTTAATGTAGTTTAATATGTTGATAGATATTTATGTATATGTTTTGTCGATGGGTCAACCATTAGCGACAAATCTGCTGCATAAGTAACAAAAAAAAAGTGAAGGGCCGGAACACACATTCGAGGTGTGTTGTTCGAGACTAAAAGCTTGAAAACAAAAG